CAATGCCACGTTCCATTTCCCAAGTTTTCGTTATCGTCCCAAAACACCACACGATTCTCAGCGCAAACTGCGCCTGCAGTTTTCCAGAAGGTTCCGGACTGTAGTAGATAATTTCGATAAGATCACGCCCACTGTGCGAACGGTACCGATTGTTCTGGAACCTACGCCACCGCCAGCGATAACGCTAGAACATTCGATGGCAAGAGTATAATGCCGACGCGCTTCGCCGCTTGCCAGTTGTTGTTGATCGAAGGCCGACGCTCCGTTCGCCGCTATCAGTCCGAGACTGCTATCTGTGCGAGACTGCTGCTGTAATTGGACTTTCCGTTTACCGGGCACAGGTTCGCCCAAATAAACAGTTAAATCCCGACACGAAGTCTCCTGTCTTCGGCCACGTCACGACCCCGTGACAATATTATACATTAGAAAAATTCAGCAGTTGCCATGCTTTTATTCCTCAATGGGACCAAAATAAGAGCAGTAGCGGAAAAAAATATTTGCCTTCAGTGCAGCCAGAAGATTTCTTAGCGGTTTTTCCTCACACGCGAGAAATAAAACATGTGCACGCTGAAATCCCGCGCGCTTTGCTTTCTGCCGTGGTCTCCGCCGCTCGAAAAACCCACACTAAACGCGCCCTCTAGCGGTAGCCGGGCGCGTGAGGCGAGATTCGCTGCTTTTGCTGGGGAGCGTGGTGATTGCGACGGCTGGAGAAAACCATGAGTGAGCCCACAATATCAGAGGCCATGCTCGGAGCTGTGTATGTCCCATCGCGCCCTGTCTGCGCCCCCACTGCGCATATGCCAACGCGCCCTCCTCTTTTCGCGTAAACGCGAGGAGGTGGAGTGGAGGAAGCGCACGGAAGAGCGCTGCCTCCAATTCGTTTCTTTCCACCCGTTTATCTCTCCGCCACAGCTGCGCGCTCGTATATAATGCTGCGCTCTCTCGCCCCATTGCACTCCCCTAGGAGCGCTAGGGGTTCACTTCGCGGTACACAGACTGTAATACCCACAAATGTGAGGGCAGTAAAATAAGTGGGACACAACATAGGTGCAACTCCTTTTTAAACAGAATAGTCTTTTTTGGGGACTCTCGACTCCGAAATTTTAGTCTGTGTGTGACTGTCTTTCTTCCTGTCTGAATGTCTGTACAATTGTCTGTTCGTTCTCGGTAACGCTACCCCTATTGGCACCAAACGATACCTCAAACGGCCAACACTATCCGCAGCACCCACCAATATTGCTGAAGTTTCAGTGTTCATACTTGTGCAATTGTCAGTTAAAAAGCAAATATTGCGCATGTTTGAGGCAGCGTTACAACTCGCCGAATGCACGTGCAAGCAGTTCTAAGGACCATAGCGTTTATCACGCTGCGCTGAAAGTTCAACGTGATGCTCAAAAAGGCAAATGTTTCCAACACTTTGCTAAGACGACACGATGGTAGCACCTGCCCGTCACTTTGTGTTCAACTGCTTATCTCCTCTGAGACAGGCGCGCACGCCTTCCTTCGTTTTCGAAGATAACTGCCAGATGGCGCCCGTGTCTAACGTGCCTCGATGCGCTAGTTCACCTTCGCTGTACGGGTCGAGACTCTAACGCAGTGCTACCAGAATACAATTGACCGATTTTCTCACGCAGAACATCAAATAAACGTTTTATTCACTCTCTCCACACAAAAGACTATGGTCTTTCGACAATATTTGCTGTGAAACATGCAGATGCGGGCAAATCTTTTTTCCTCTTCTTCTTTTAAATGGTATTTATTGAAATGTGGGTTACAAGCCTCTGGCGTACAAGCCAAATGGCGTACAAGCCTCTGCGACAAATGTACACTAGGCATGACAAAACAATACCGTACAACACTGTTTTTAAAAAGGTATTTGAGCAGACCCCTTCATGAAATCTTGATCCAGCCCGGTTGAAATAGGAGTTGTTCATGAAAATCTTCTAGCTGCAAGATCGCTTGAACAAACTGGGATCGCAAAGACACGATTAGTTCTGCATGCCTGTCTAACATGCGATTTTTCTATAAACTATGCATGTCCATTAACAAGAGCATGTCAAATGGCATACTGCATTTGGGGGTACAAGAAAACGTATGCTATAAGAATTCAAATCAAGCAGCTTTGTTTTCTTTAAATGTCCTTGCCGGACGTCTTAAATGATTATGGCGTCCTTGCAAATAATGAAACAATGTTCTAATTTTTCTGGAACTTCACAAAGGCGACGGTTAATTGAGTATAAAAAGATACCTTTGGTATTTACTTAGGCTTTCACAGGTACTGTTTCTGTATGCACTTCGCAAAAAGATGTTTCGCTTGCTGTTGAAATACGCCTTTTCATTACACGTACTACTAGTAAGTCCTGACAAGACAATGCAATATATAGAGAGCGGTAGAGTGGTGCCTGATATACCATATTCAATACAGCATATTAATAACCTTTTCTTGACCGAGAGAACACGTATTCAATGGAGAATCTGGCTGCCAGAAAACGTACTGATTCGTATACTCCACGCATAAGCCCTTGAAAGTAGAGAGGCGATGCAAATTTAGTATATACCAATACTTTTGGTAAAACATCCGCGAAATGCACTGTCAAGAATGTTCTAAGCAGTTGATTATCCCATTTCCGAAAAAACGTAACATAAATTTTCTAATAAAAAGGTATACCAACCCAAGAAAGCCTGCGCAAGCTGGTCTAAAAACGTTGTCCCGCCTCATCGGTTGATAGGCTGATGATCATATATTAGCTGCAAATATGCGGTGGTGAAAGTTCTGTATCAAAATTCTTGAGCAATGAAGTATTTGCAGTAGGTAGACCGTTTTTGTTGCACAAACATGTTGCACGCTTTAGCTTTGCCAAAGATAGAAAGGTCATGTGGAATAAATGTCTCGGCATGACGTTTTGGGGTAGGTAGACGTTCTTTTTTACACTGCTTACTGGATAGATACGCATCTAATGGGACGCCTAGGTATTTTGGCGGAACGTAAGACCATTTTATATCCTCGACATGGTTTTGTTTATAAGTCAATAGGCCAAACCACAGTCCGAAGCTTTTACCAAAGTTCACTCGTGCCCCAGCGATTTTCCAAGTTCGCCGATTGTTGACATCACCATTTTTATACTAGAGAGATCTGTACAAAAAAGCGCTAGGTAATCCGCATGCGCCAATACCTTTACGTAATTCCCTTAAACACTGAAAGCACGTACTTCACTAGAATGAATAATGCTTAAGCCCAATGGCTCCAAGTAAATAACAAAAAGAATTGGCGACAACGGGCCACCTTGTTTCACAGACGAGTTAAGGGACAAAGGCTTTGACAGATGGCGCTGAACAATAAAACAGGCTTTACATTCATGGTAGCATGGTTTAACACCTTTAAATATGATGGAGCCGATGTTGGCATGTTCAAGAAGGGAAATTAGAAAAGAATGGTGAACTCGATCAAAGGCTTTCGCTAAATCTACTTGTGGTATCATCAGTTGCTCATGTAAGTTCGAACAAAGCTCCATACTGAGCGACCAATATGTATGTTACAATGTATTGAGTGACCCATCATACCTGTGCTCTACAAGACCACAGGTATGATGGGCACCGATAAGTATCGACATTGCAAATCGAAGTCCGTCTGAGAGCACTTTTGCAAAACTTTGGTAGTCAACGCTGCTTGTGAAGGCACTGAAAATGAAGCCCTTTGCTTCAGATTGCAGTGAAAGTAACTTTCAGGCTTTACAAGCACACGCGTCCTGTGTACATGCTTCACAATACAACATAACTATTGCCTTAACAATGCTTGGTGCAAAAGTGCACTGCCATCGGGCATCAGAACGTGGAATTATTATAATGACCTCGTAGTTTAAAGCCAGCCACCCACAACCAAATGCGCACACGCCATTGCGCCCTCAAGGTCATACATTGGGTTCGAAAACATTTCATGCACAAAGTGTGTGAAGTACACACTAGAAACTGAATATCACTACCATGTTCAACATTTATAGGCGAAGCTTAAGGGTTCCCCAATTCATAAATTAATGTTTTTTATCTATCGATGTCCTTACTGTATAGTAATTATCATTGCATTTCTTCATGTCATCATTGCTGACGACCAGGACAAACAGATCTCATAGAGAAACGCGTGCCATCTTGCTGAGATGAGACACCATTCTTCTAATTGAATTGATTTACTTGTTTCGGTTAGGTAACACTGCTACTGGTGCTTGCCTAATTATGTAATTATTCAGTATTACCCAGATTCTTATATTGCTTGTCTAAATACGACGGTCACTGTAAATTTTTAACTAACGTTGTATTTACAGAACAGTGTTTGTATGGCATTTTTAGATGTACCACAATTCTCTATAGCGCCCCAGGCTCCGAGGGTAATTTCAATAACTGAAAAATTCCACCATCTCTCACTACAGAGAACCATGGGGCGATGCGAAGCAGCGGCGCTCTTTATTTCTATTAGCATTTGTAGGTACTCGTGTATGTTTCATCTTTGTGTGGAGTTGCTTATATGTTGTTTATCGCTTATGCCATTCCCCTTCTATTTTTTGTGTCTTGCTGCGTGTGTGCCGCAAAGCGAACATCCAGCGCTGCTAGGAGTTCAAATGAGCGCGAGAGCGCAGCAATATATACGAGTGCACAGCTGTGGGGCTGGAATAAACAGAAGAGACGAAACGAAGCGGAGGCAGTGCTCAGCTACCTTCTCCAGCCTTCCTCCTCCTCCTCCTACATCCTCATGTTCAGGCGAAGAGAGGGCCCTCGGCGACTGTTCGCTGCTTCACCGCGCATGCACCGTCTCTTCCTCATCTCCTCGCGCTAGTAGAGCGTCCTACCACTTACTGCGAGAATGAGGGGAGAGTTGAAGCATACGCAACAAGGGTGCACGGTCACGCCGCACACCACCAGATTGAACTCCACCATATGCTGCTTCACATTTAATAAGTAAATATTCCCACGTAATAGTGAAATGGTCTCGTGAGCCAGCTCCAACGCACCTGCCTACCCCGACGCCGGTTGTCGAGAGAGCCCTGGTGAAGACAGGCCAGCAACATGGCGACCGCCTTGCGCGTTGCTGTGAAGCGTGGTGGCTTGCGGAGGCCCCTGGTTACCATCAAGTTCACGTCCAGCACGTGCCAGTGGTGCTTCAGCAGTGTGTCGAAGCTGCGCAGCTTTGGCGGAGGCTCGCGCCGCCCACATGCAAACGCTTCGAAGTCCTGGCACGGTTCCGCTGAACTGGCACATGCATCGCAGAGATTAGGAAGTGCAACGTAACCAGATTTTTGTGAGTTTGGTAAAGAATTGTTCGAATTCAACAGCTGCCTTCCTGGGGCTGCAATCGATAACTCAAAGAAACTCAAAGAAGCTTATATTTTCGTCTTATCTATCTTCCTAAGCATGCTGCTTGTTCAGTATGCGTGACCTAGTCTGCTAGAAAATTTAATCGCTCAGACAGGCTAGTTGACACCGCCACGCATAGCAGCCCCACTCCCTGGCGCACAGCCAGGAGTTGTTTCGGGGGGTTGGGCATGGGAACTTACAGAATATCTCACCTATTTCAAAGAAAAAAAAGCTATTTATTCCTTACCTTCGGTAATAACATCCCCCGGCATAAGATTTTTCAGGCTTATGGCAGGCGGGGGGGGGGGGGGGGCAGTGCAGTTTTCTAGGCTTCGCCATTCCTGCGCGAATTAAACGCTTGCTGTTAAGAAAATGCCTCTAATGATAGTTTACCAAGTAGATATCATTACTGTACATCTACCAGTTCAAAATCACGTCAGTTATTCGTAAACTGCTAAATGACCTCCATGCACCATGCCATCATTTTCAAGCCCAGTCTTGTCACTTCGATTCTTAGCTGCATGTTTCCTGTCCTTTCACATGCACCGTATGTACCGTATAAAAATCCATTTTTCATCAGGCTGCTGGAAGCTGCAACACGTGCGTGCGCCCAAACTGCTGCTGCCATGACAAATCTTTCAGTAATTCTGAGCACTGTGCCAACTCTTGTTTCACCATAACATCTGCTTACTATTTCTTGAATCAACAAGCTAACCGTAATATTGCAAATGGCGCCTTTACGTTATTTAAATGCTATGAAATGAAAGTTATGTCAACGATTGTGAAATACAAAAGAGAGATATTTTTCAGAAAAAGGCGGGGGCCGGACACAATATTTATTCTGTTTTAGGTCATCAAATCGCAGTGACTTGTACGTGTGTCAAAGGGTGTCGATTACTGGCCATCTCAGCGTCAGCCAGCAGGATAACCGCCTTTGTGCTTTGTGATATGTGGACGCGTAGGCGGCCCGGGTAGGCATTTTCCACACAATGTCCTGAGCATGGACAGGTATATGGAATTTCACGTAAATCACGCGTTGCAGCAAGTCTAACTAATCGTGTATAAGCTCATCCCGCTAGTACAATATGCCGCTGCCATCTGGAACCCCCACCAAACAATGCTTATGTCATCTATGCACTTGAATCAGTTCAAAATTGTGCCACAAGATTAATCCGTTCGTCATAGGCCTCCCAACCTCGGCCAAGGGGCGCTGTGCCGCGCGCGTTTGGCCGCCTTTCTAGCGAAAACCGGTCGCTTGATACCTCGCTCCCACCTTCTGCCTGCGCTGTTTCAGTAGCACGGTCACTCGCTCTGCCCGCGCTTTTATCTGGTCGCCCTGCACATGCAGCGTCCCTTGTGACTTGCTCCGAATGTTTGAAAAGATTGTGAAAACGTTTTCACGGAGCGAATCTTATCAGAAACGAGAGCGATTCATTGACAAAAATTTGCCGGACCAAGCAAGTCAAACCGATGTCCTTGAGTGACTGCTATTTGCATGTCGATGGTGAACAGCCGCCTTTCGATGCTAAATATTACGCCACTTCACCCCAAAACTGATTTGTTTAAGTATAGTTTTTTTCCCTTCACTATTGAGCTCTGGAACTTGCTACCCGGCGATACCCGCGGGCTCCCTTTGGAGCAGTTTCTGAATGCAATATCACATGCGTGTTAAGTAGATATTTTCATGATCTTTTGCTTTCTGTGCTCTTGCTCTGTTCATTCTGTACCTTGTGTAGTACTATGAACCACAAATTTGTGCCATATGCTCATGTTTTTGTTTCTGCTTGTTATCACCTGATCATTTGTATGTCCACTCCTGCAATAGCCCTAATAGGGGCTGCAGTATGTATAAATAAAATAAATAAATAAAAAATAAAAGTGAGGTGGCGGCGTGAATTTTATATGTATGTTACCGGTAAAACACGCATTTGCTTCGGCATTCATGTCTTTTCGGAGCTGTGGGCAAACCATGATTGATTGATTGATATGTGGGGTTTAACTTCCGAAAACCACCATATGATTATGAGAGACGTCGTAGTGGAGGGCTCCGGAAATTTCGACCACCTTGGGTTCATTAACATGGACCCAAATCTGATCACATGGGCCTACAACATTTCCGCCTCCATCAGAAATGCAGTCGCCGCTGCCGGGATTCGATCCCGTGACCTGCGGGTCAGCAGCCTAGTACTTTATCAGCCACTAGACCCCCGCGGCGGGACTGTCGGCAAACCACCGCCAGGCCTTCGCGTGCATTTTTATATAACGTTTGAATTTAGATTGTATGAGTGTCAAGTTTGCCACTCGGCTCTAAATTAAGGAGGAGGTCAGTGTGAAGAGACTGAACTTACGTCTGCTTTGTCGAGTGCCTGGCGCCATTTCAACGCGGAGTGTTACGTTTCATAAGAGTTTCACTTTTGCCGACGTTTTCATCAGATGTTAACAAGGTTGTATTGCAAGTTCAATGACACCAGGCACCTTGAATGTTTTTGCAGCTCCTTTGAAAGTATAAAGATGCGCACAAAAAAGTATTTTATGTCGAGTTCAACCACGCATGTTTCTTGTAGCACATGTTTCATTTCAGATAATATCCACGTCTGATCACGCAGCATGTTCACTGATTCGAAAGTCGATTTTGTTGTTTTGACAGCTCATTTGGTCTTCGTCATATAAAACAGTACGCACTACGATTAAGCATGTTATTAGTTACGCCAAGATTTGCCTCTGATAACGGCGTTTAATTTTGTGAAACCATCAAAAATTTTATATCTACCTTGCTTCTTCTTTAAGCTTGTTTCAAACTCATAGCAGCAGCTATGTATCACCCGCGGCTCCAGTGTATGCAAGGTTATAATATTTTACGTGCCAAAACCATCATACCATTAGAGGGCACACCGTGGTGTGAGACTCCAGATTGATTCCGGTCACCTATTTTTTTTAACGTGCACCTCAATGTAATTGAAGTGTAAGGCGCGACGACAACGGACAGAGGGTGCACACACACCGAGCGTCACTTCTGTTTACATTGAGCGTTATACGACCGTACACGTGAAATATGCAACACCAATACGCTCTGTGTGCTTCTCCGCAGCGCAGTGGTTAACGCCTCGCATTCACCGATACGCCTGTATCTTCCATTCTTGCAACAAATTCTAAGCGCGCCCCGCCGCGGTGGTCTAGTGGCTAAGGTACTCGGCTGCTGACCCGCAGGTCGCGGGTTCGAATCCCGGTTGCGGCGGCTGCATTTCCGATGGAGGCGGAAATGTTGTAGGCCCGTGTGCTCAGATTTGGGTGCACGTTAAAGAACCCCAGGTGGTCGAAATTTCCGGAGCCCTCTACTACGGCGTCTCTCATAATCATATGGTGGTTTTGGGACGTTAAACCCCACATATCAATCAACAAATTCTAAGCGCGTTGTTCCTGCGTTTGGCTCCCATGGAAATTCAACTGGCGTATGCGGATATTGAACTCATGATTTCAATCCTAGCATTGCAACACCTTAAAATGCTAACTTATCGATGAGTGTTGCTTACAAGACCTGTACACTAAAGGCTTAGCGCAAACCCGCCAAATAAATCTGTTTACACTGAGCGGTGACGACAGGTATACAGTCATCTGCTGAATAAAGCACTTGCAGGGCTCACTGTATGATGTCTTTAACAGTGGTGTATTAAGCTAGCAAGCTCCGCGTCTTTGGCACTACTAAAGGTTGACTCGGAAAGCCAGAGCCCAATCGCGTATTGTACAGCGGTTGCCTATTTGCTGTAGTTTCAGTATACAAACGCGCTTTCCTTTATTATGAGTCTGGCGTCTCTTTCAGTCAATTGCTTGTAGTACAGTGCATGACTAAAATATTTCAAAGTAGTGAGACCGTGGCGTATCGGCGAACTGCCATAATTTATTCTTGGTGCCTTCTTTTTTTCTCGCACTGTGCATTAGAAACGGTGGAACTGGACAGGCAGTTTTCAGGTGTTCGTCATGTTTAAACTTTTGCAGCAGCTGACAGTGCAGCAGTAGTGTGTGCTGGCTTTTCAGGATGACGAAGGAGCGGCGCCCATAGCGTGCGAAATGCGAGATAAGCGCCCCGAGAAACACGTTTGGCGAGCACGCAATGGCAAAACCCAGCAAGCGCGGCCCATCTGAGCAACCGGTGCTTTGCCCTTTTTCCACTAGGGCGGTGAACGGCACAGCGCAGACTTGAGCCTGTGTTCCCTATACTGATATAACGTCACTACTTCTGTGCTCAAGGCGAAACCAAGCTTGCCATGTATTGCTTTTCGTCGTGATGTTGTCATGCTCTCTCATACTGCTAAATTATTTTTCAGCTCCGTAAACCGACCACCTTACATCAGGTCATTATCCCCATGCACGTCACAGCGCACAAGCAATCCGCTGCAAGCAACTTGTTCTTGAACGTGAACCGTAACCTTTCAAGCCTTCTCTTTTTTTTTTCCTTTGGCTGCCATAGATTGGTGTGATTTGCCCCACTGTGCTGCTGCCGTAACAAGTCGTACCGAATTTCTGGACATGGTGCAGCAACATGTAACACGCCATAAGATACGATTTTCTTCTACAAACATGCTAACCAGCCGTCATATTATACCCCCGACTTTAATACACACAAATTTTATGGTATTAGGTCTTCCAAGTAGAAGATGAACATTTAGGTGTAAGGTCTTTAGAGTATCAAATGAAATGAAATTAGAGTGTTTTATAATGCGTAACATCGTAGTTACCCCTATAGAGGTCACAATATATGTAAATTATACAATTATGGCGGAACTCAGATATCTCTTGACCATATCTCGTATACCCTGCTACTGGAAATGCTTCGCTCCTACTAGACGGGAGCGACAAGCAGCATCCTCAAATGACCTATTTGCGAACTCTATCACGCGTCATTGAATTGCTTCATCTTGATTGTTGAATCACTATGATGATTTGTTTTTGTTGGTGGCCGCCGTTGTTTGTTTTTTGTTCTCTCATACTCAATATAACTTTTTGGCTTCGAAAAACAATCTTACGAAACCACTTTCACAGCCCAACAGACACGGCCCTAACTTATGAAGCAGCCGGTGCTAGTCGGTATAGGTTTAAAAAAAAAAGCGGAAATGCTGCAATAATGCATGGCTACAACGTGTTGAGTCTTTGGCAGGTGGTATCTCGGTTTTCCTCTCGGTCTTGCTGCCGCTTCGTAATATACAACATTGATTTAACAGTGTACACCTGCTGTTTATGCTTCTTAAGCACTTCTTCAAAGATTAGAACATCCGCGAGCACGAGCTTATATTCTGGGATTTACAGCAAGACTGACTGGAAAATTGCAAACTCTCCCCCCCCCACCTTTTCACCCAGATTGGCTCGACGACACAACGATGGTGCTCGGACTTACTCTTGTGAGTCTTGTGACTTATGGTTGATCGTGCTTAACGTTGATCGTGAAAGCTGTCCTGAAAGTATCCTAAGAAGTGACACTTGAAGAAATGAGCCAGTTCTCCTACAAGGCGGCAAGTAATCACTATTTTTCAAAACAAAGATGACTGAGTATATTGTTTCCTTTGAGAAAGAGGAAAAGCGTATATAGGTACCTGTTGATGGCATCCAGGAGATAAGCGGCGTGCCATTTGCAGTCATCAGTAGTACATGTGTTAACGGATAGGTGTGCTGGCTTAGCCATCCGACCACTGTCACTGAGCATCCACACCGCGTACATGAACATCATCGCCATTAGCGCCAGTGATGCCGCTGCTGCCCCGAGAGAGCAGATGGCATCGCAAACCCACGGCTGAGTAACTTGCGCCTTCGTTCTTGCCATGTCTGAGCCGACTCTAGTAGAAGTTGCCAGGCCAGAGGCTGGAACATGTTCAGTAGGCGAAGATGGTGAAATCTGCAAGCAGAACCATGGGAAGTTTTCCTGTGGTAGAGCAGTGCAAAATTTTGTCGCAAAGTTGGTGCACACGATGTTGATTTTTTTATGTATTCTGAGAGCTGCCATTCGAGATAACGATCAAAATACCCATAATAATGTCTCCATAATCTACGCATTGTCGTTACTTTTGTGTTAAAAAAACGCACAGCTGCATTGTAATTGATTGATATGGGGGGTTTAACGTCCCAAAATCGCCGTATGATTATGACGGACGCCGCAGTGGAGGGCTCCGGAAATTTCGACCACCTGGGGTCATTTAACGTGCACTCAAATCTGAGCACACGGGCCTACAGCATTTTTGCCTCCATCGAAAACAGCTGCATTGTAACCGACTATCGCAGACACAGTTACTGCAGTGCACTGAGCACAGCTGCTGAAGAGTGAGAGTCCTAAAGGTCTAAAGACAACTCTTCTGTCCTACTGGAATGCTCAAAGCGATGTCGTGTAGTTCTGTGCCTTTAAGTTCGTTTATTCACGACAACGCGTGACAGGGCACCCCCTTGATTTCGGGAGGAGCACCTATTTAAGATAGCCATTTTCGCTCTGTAGGCCATAGCAAAAAAAGTGCCCCCGCCCCCTCCCTCCCCTGACAACGCCCATGTTCACGACATTTCGGATGTCTGAGGTCTGAGGCTTTTCTAAGAGCCAGAATGTCAAACAGAGGCTGTACAGGAAGCCTCGAGTTTCACGACAGGAAATAGGAAATTGAGAGTCAGGTGCGAAGAAGTGCTTAGGAAAAGGCTCATGTACTAAGAAATACCTTTACGAGGCACATTAACGAGCGCTAACGAAAAGTTAGAACAAATGCACATTTCAGTCCTTAAAGGTTCATATATTTACTCGAACAGCTAGCGGACAAAAATAAATCCGCCGAAAACGCAAAACAACAGTCAGTTCAACCCGAGGCTGTAACACAGCCACAGGTCATATTATTTGACTTGCGAATAAGTATGCATGCGGTGAAATGCATACAAATTGATATATTTATTTCAAAAACGCCCTTGAAAGCTCCTCCGGGCGTATAGTTGAGAGGTCAATACAATGGACATGACATCAAGAGAGAGGAGAGAGAAATATTTTGAAGGAGGGATGGAGATTTTTGCCTGGCTTTTCACACCATGACATCGAGCGTTTACTGAAAGCTATTGATAGAAAATACATGATTAGGTACTAGATACTGATTCAACGCGTGTCAAGAAAATTCTTAAAAAGGAATAGTATCATTAGAAACAGAGTAGGCAGTATTGTTCTGCTGCCATGTAACGTACAGGTGCCGTGCTTCCAGGTGCGGACTGTGCGGCTAGCGACGATCCCTTGCCGCTGTGGTGAGATGATTCACATGGGGATGAACTGGGACTCTGCGCATGTAAGCCCAAGGAGCTGGCTAGTGGTATCCCTTCCTGCTGAAGTGGTGAAATTAGATTGTCCGGCGTCCTGCGCCTCGAGCTCGCTGCTCCGGTTCCACTAGGAGACACCCGGGCTCTTGACGACACAGTGACAGCTGACCTCGCGTTGTCCTGAAAGATCTCTTATTAATTTAATGACGATATATCACATTACTTCCTATACTTAAAGACACCATGGACATCATCGTGGAGCGACACTTGATTACGAAGCAGCGTGGGAGGAAAATGAGATGCAATAATGATGCTTGTGCATACGTTTTGTTCATAGCAGTGTTATGTGCGGAAGAGCGCGTTTCACATAGAGCGCATGATCGGATGCGATGCGCCCGCGATCATTGCCAAATATGCATTTTAAGCACCCAAAACCGCTGTAGACGCTACGTTCACAATACCTAAACTCCCTAAAGTCACATTTGCCCAGCATTTGCCTCCCCAGCGAACTACCTTTTTCATATGGTGCCAGCACCGTTAGCCCCTTACTAAATGTGGTAAGGTATGTACTTGTTGTTGGGTGATCTCGTAGCAGAATGGCGCAGAAACGAAGACGAGAAATTGATCGTCTTGGTTATGTTTCTACATGATATATTCTAGCTAGTAACTTTCGACAGACATGTTACGTTGTCAATATATAAAAATTCTCGTTTATTAAGCGGCTGGTACAATGAGGCCTTCACGATTTTCGGCTCACTAAATAGATGAACAAAATATCATCTGCCGCATATATACCTATTCACCAAGGTACAGTACCATAATAAGGGATTCCTGCGACGTGGCAGGTAGAAGCGAAATAACAGTTTTGAAGAAGAAACTATTTTATCATGTGAGCTCGCATTGGTGTATTTCAGGCAGTGTTATCGGTGCATTTCAGATACTATAATAAGGTACTTTCAGTGTGAAAAATAATTCGTCGTCGGGAACGCACCAGCAGTGGAACTGTGCTGACTGAACTCTCCGTGTCGGTGGTGAGCCCCTTGCCGAGTGCCAGGAACCGCCGCCAAGGGCTGTCCTCGGTACCTGCCGGTGACGACGCCGGTGCAGACGCGGACGATGGAGGGGAATGAGCACCTGACTGACCACTTGTTTTGTGCCCGGGTTCTTGGGGAGGTGTCATAGAACTCATGACTGAAGGTTGCTCGCTTTTGGCTTCGCCCTTCTGCATCATCAAGCAGAGTGGCGAGAGGATAAGGTTGATGATGATGATGATGATGATGATGATCCTTGACACTCTGGCGCACACCCACAAAGGGGGATCGGCCAAGAACCGGGCGGCAGGATCTTAACTAAAAGGCTAATGGTTTTTCAAAGAAAACGTAATTTTGGGCTAAAAAATATAGAAAGGAAAGCCGAAAATCGAAAAAGGAGTATATCTGAGCAGGGAGCGATGCAGGCCATCAGATGCGATTTGAGACAGAGGTAATGGTGGGTCTATATATATGTATATATATATATATATATATACATATATATATATATATATATATATATATATATATATATATATATATACACATATACATATATACACATATAGGCAGATTAACATGGCAATCGCTTTGTTTCAATTATGTATTCAAATACCGCAGAGCAGACGTCCCTGTGGCTATAACCGAATTTAATGCTGCCAATTGACAAAATTACTGCCACATTTAATTCTAATCCCAATTTTTCAAGTGGAGCTACCAGGTATCTTTTCCGCTGATGAGAATCCCGGCGACAGAACAAAAAGAAGTGATCTATCGTTTCCATTTTTTGGCAAGTCTGACATAAAGGTGACGCCTTTAGACCAACTTTATGCAAATAGTAATTCAGTTGAGGAATTCTGCAACGCAATCTTGTAAAAGTAACTTCCAAGTGCCGTGTTGCACACCACTGTCTATTCCAGCGGCATCTTAGATGTGCGAAATCTCGATATTTATCCAATGAGTAGCAGTCGTATTCACGCAAACAGAGCTTTCTAAACCTTATTGCTGTCGCGTAAGCCGTATCAGGCAAAATCGGGATAATGGGACCGCTAAGAGATACTGTGGCTAGTGCATCCGCCATCTCATTGAGATATATGCCACGATGACCTGGTACCCATAAGAGCTGCAGTTTTTTCAAGTTTGTCGGTATGAGTTGTCGAAACATGTGCATAAGTGTTAAGTTGGCTCCTGAAGACAGAGCAGCACATACTGAAAAAGAATCTGTAATTACGACTGCTTCCGATTCGCCCAAAGGAAGTTTCCGTAGTGCCAGTACAATAGCAAATAATTCTGCCATGAATATTGGTGTGTAATCTGGGAGTCTAACCGAAAAGGACCAGTCAAGGGAACGTGAGAAGATACCTGCCCCAGCCTTTTCATTTGATACGGATGCATCGGTCGCAATTATGTTGTTCAAGTTCAAATGCGCCAAGTAAAAGGAAGATAAGGCCTCCGGCCACTATCTTCCTTTTCTTCTTCTTCCTCTTCATTTGGAAGATGACAATTCAAGAAGACAAACACGTTGAAGATTGAGGTGCAGACAGCCGATTTGTTTCTTTGTTTGTTGCAACAAAGCACTGGCATTCATATTATTATTATTATTATTATTATTATTATTATTATTATTATTATTATTATTATTATTATTATTTGAACTGCATGGTCAGATGTACAAGGACGCCGAAAAAATAGGGTGAAAGCAAAGTTGCAAATGACACCGGGATAGGCAGAATGCCTCCACTGTGTTTGATTACATCAACGCAACTAAAAGATTACCATGCTAGTGAACCCCTACCTTTTCAGATCCTTAGTTTATAATTCGTAGTTATGTCTTTCAAAATTAAAAGTTGGTTTGACCGCTTGCTCAGCAAACATTTTTGTTTTTTGGTAGTATTTTTTTAAGCTACTTTTTCAGATTGGCTTCATTTTCAGTTTAGTTTCATTTAAGTATCCTGCTGCCTGGTTCATGGCCCATCCCCCTTTGTGGGTAAGCGCCATCCATCAGAGGTCGTCAGCATCAAAATCAGCCTGCTTACTCTGTCAGGAGCAGCACCTAGGACTGATGCTGCACGTAACCTCCACTGGCTTGTTCGTCAACAAACCACGTTACAATGGTATCAGCTGCACTTTAAGCATGCCCGACTATACTCGCTTGGTCCTACGTTAAGTCTTGACGTCCCGTCGAAGCTTCGTCATGCAGACGAGACGCATTGATGTAGGGCGTGGTTGGGCGTTGCGTTTACCAACGTTTACGCTCTCCACATTGAGATGCCCGACAACGCACCCCGTGACCACTGCGGCAACTAACAAACCATCCGACATAGTTTTTGTGACTGCCTAGAGTATAGTGGACAGCAACATTACCTTCGCAATGAGCTCTGCAAATTAGATATTTAAGATATGTCGGAGGAAACAATTTTATAATGTCGCCAAAGTGCAATGTCAAAGAAGAAGGCCCTGCGAGCTCTACTGCGCTTTTTGCGATCGACCGGCCTTTTTAAACGATTGTAGTCAGCACGCCCTTCCTTTGTGCGTTTTTGTTTTCTCCTGAGTGCACGCGAAATTTTCTCTTTTTTTCTTTGTATCTCGCTCTCTTTTTTGCCCCTATTTCTCCTCCACCAGTGCTGGGTAACAAACTGGATGCTAATATCTCGTTAACCCCCCGACCTTCCTCTTCTCTCTCTCTCTCTCTCTACTCTGCCAGGACGAAGGAAGAGCCAGACGAAATGATTATAGAAGGAGATAAAGAAGAAAAAGATATTGAAATAAAGAAAAATACCTGTTTTTCCGGAAAACAGCACACATGGAAGGACTGTGTTTTAGTACCTTTCACGAATCAGCACTTAGCGCGCTATTCAATAAAAAATTATTGTACGAAACGTGATCACAGGTATATATCAGCGCACACTAATAATTACCACAGTTGTTACTTCGCTGGGTCTGAAAAGTGCACTCTTTTCGAAATAGTTTGATGCTCCCAGTAACTACAACGGAATCTTTCTGGTGAAGAGCTAAGGTGGGTGATTCTCCCCCACGGTGAGATAAGCGCGCACACGTGGGGGCATCTATCCTCCGCAGGACAAAGTACGCGTGGAAGATGGGCGCATGAGCAAGCGTTCGCGACGAGTGGGGTGCCGAGCGCGCTGTTAGCGCCATTTCGCCGGCAGGTCGCTCCGCTGCGGTCATCTAGTGGCTAAGGGGCTCGGCTGCTGACTCCGCAGGTCACAGAATCGAATCGTGGCTGCGGCGGCTGCATTTTCGATGAAGGCGAAAATGCTGTAGACCAATGTGTTCGTAATTGGATGCACGTTAAAAACCCCAGGTGGTCGAAATTTCCGTAGCCCTGCACTACAGCATCTCTCATAATCATATGATGGATTTCGGACGTTAAGTCCTACATATCGATAAATCAAATCTTATCAATCACCAGCAGGGCTAAAAATACGCTGAGCGTGGCTACGCCAGCGCTAAGTTGTGTACATAGACGGCTTACTGTTTGTATGTTGAAGAACGTGGGCTTTTGTGGCTCTGTCGTTAACGCCACGCACGGTGGAGCGAGAGGTCACCCGCTCGATTCCGCCCTTCAACAATGTTTCTCTAACTAGGTTTTTTTCTGCCTTCTCTTACTGTACGTATTTACATACATATACGGGTCAGGACGGCGGAAACAAACGTTGACGCCGAACATAGTGCGAAACTAATTCAAGGCAAATATGTACATTGTTAGTATTTTGCTGTTACTGAATGTTACGTCTTCTCATTTACGTTTCGCAGCAAGATTGGTTCCAATAATATGTACCAATATTGCCACATTCTCGCCTCGTCTTTTGTTATCCCCCATTTCACTCAGTAACTTTCAGCGTAAACCACAGCTACACTGTTTGAGAAGCGTCGGGATGGCAGTAGATCATTATGTTAGATTACGCGTACCACTTGAACATGGCTGATTATTCTAGAACCTACATCGCCGCTAGCGATAACGCTGGAATATTCGATAGCAAGTGTATAAATATAAAAATATATAAAAGCCGACACTCTGCTGGCCGCTATCAGCGCCAGTGTCCTGCTGAAATGCGACTTTTCTTTAGCGTGGCCATAAGTTTGGCCCGAAGAAACAGTTGCATCGTCGACCTCAAGTCTGCTGCCTTTGTTCACGTCTCGACCGCGTGACATCTAGTGGTGGTGCTGCTTCGTTCATGTACTGGACACCCCCATCAAGCCATGAACCCAGCCAACGTCAAGAAGAAGACACCGACGCCAGCCAGGAGCACCAAACAAGCCGCAGGCAGCAGGGTTTACCCCCGTAGTATGGACCTCTACAAAATAAGGCTTGGATGACCAAGGCGATGACATCGACCAGGTCAACGATGAAAAGTGCTGCGCCGCAGCCCGCGATGGTGATGCAGCAGCCACGAGAACCACCAATTTTCCGTGGTTCGACGTTTGAAGATTCAGAGACCTGGCTGGAGACCTACGACATAGTGGCCGCCCCCAACTATTGCGACGCGGAAGAGAAGCTTCGTCGCGTGTACTTTTATCTGAAAGACTTGGCAAGGACCTGATCCAAAAATCAGGAGTCTGCCCTTCAAACATAAGATCTCCTCCGCGGCGCATTCTAGGTTTGTTTAGAAGCATAGTACCGAATTGTAAGAACCGTGACGTTGCTTGATACGATGGTGCAACTCTCGAATGAAAATGTGACAATCTTCGTGGAAGAAATGACGCAACTTTTCCATTACTTGACCCCGACATGCTCGAGGAGAAAAAAAAGAGGAGTAGCCGGTGCTACGCATTGGCACCCACCTCTTCATACATACATTAATAAACAAAGAAGTTCGTTTTCTCATACGAAGGGTCAAGCAAGAACTCTTCGCTGGACTGATACGAAAAGCCCCGAAGACCGTCCACGGATTCCTGTCAGAGGCGATATCAATTGAAAGACGCTGGAAATGCGAACCCACCAGTACAATCGGCGAACGATGGAAGACAGCCCAGCTCTTCATGATCTCGGCTCCGATGAAGTTCTCGAAACGATACGAGCGATCGTACGGGAAGAGCTTCGTAAATTTTTGGCAGCCTCACAGCCTCCCGTGAAACCGAACGCCGTTGTTGCATGCAAGGAAGTCACGCAATTTTTCAGGAGACCTGAACCAGCGCCGCATGAGCCACAAGGAATGAGCTACGCTGCTCTAGCCGGAAGCAACGTTCCCGCGCCGCGTCCATGTAAAGAGGTCGTGCCGCCGCATTTTCCTCGCCAGGCACCACCACCACTACAACCGATGCCGTACCGTGAGACGAGGGCTCTGCGCAAAGACAGTGGCGCCGAGGTAGCAAACTTCTTCGTCGAGAACATAGTCCTGCGTTACGGAGCTCCACAAGTCCACATTACTGACAGAGGTGCGGTCTCTACGGCGGACCTAACTCGGCCGATCCTGAATTACAGCTAGTAAAGCCACCGCCGGACCACCGCCTACCATCCGAAGACCACACCGAGCGGCTTAATATATTTTAGACCATCGCTGATATGCTGGCCATGTATGCATATGCTGGCCAGTACAGTGTGAATTTTTATGAAGCGTACACGGCGACGCATGGCCTGCGCGCTCCGGGGGCGGCTGGCAGCGGCTTCAAGCGGGAGCGACAGCAACCACGTTCTCTTCTCGCGTCATCTCGCGGCGAGCAAAACAAGATGTCAATGCTGATGTGGAACCGCTGGCAAGATGGCAACCCCCTCCCTTTTCAGGGCGATTGCAGATTCGTCCATGTTTGATTGATTGATATGTGGGGTTTAACGTCCCAAAACCACCTTATGGTTATGAGAGACGCCGTAGTGGAGGGCTCAGATTCGTCCATGTCGAGCGACTCAAATTATTTCATGTGCAAACCTGAGGACTTATTTTGTTGTTGTTGCTCTGCTTTAATGCTTCTACCTAATGTTTATTTTCTTTCTGATTGTAGTTTCGTCTCTTCTTAAAGCATCACGACGGTGCCTTTTTCAGAGGGGGGCAATCCTACATTCTCGCCTCATTTTTTGTTACTGCCCTGTTTCACTGTCAGTAGTTTTCAGCGTAAACCACGCCTACACTGTTTGAGAAGCTTCAGGACGGCAGTAGAACATTTTGTTAAGATTACGCCTACTTCGTAAACATGACAGATTATTCGCTGCTTGTCAGTTGATCGATGGCCGACGCTCTGTTCGCTGCTATCAGTGCCATTGTCTTGCTGTAATCCGACTTTTCTTTTGCGTTGCCATAAGTTTGGCCCTAATAAAAGTTGCATCTTCGACATGAAGTTCACTCCCTGAAGTTCGCTTCCTGAAGTTCGCAACCTGAAGTTCGCTCCCCCGTGACAATATTGTTGCCTGCTTTTCAAGCTCTGTTACTTTTTAGTCCATTTCTTGACTTTTCACTCTAGATAATCTCTTTACAAATGCAGCCTATGTTCGAATGGGTACAAACATGCTCTCCATTATGAAAATAGTTTTTCGTTGTCTTTCTTACTTCCGTTTATTTTATATTTAGGATTACGCTTTTGCTTTCTATTAAATATTTTTCATAATATTTACTTCACACTTCAGGGGCGTAGCAAAGAAGTTGCACGCTGGCCCCATTCCCCCCCCCCCTCCCTGAAATATGTCTAGCCATAATATACCGAGCAAAAAAACATTTTTGAGAGTGTGCCTCCCCACCCCGCTAAACGAATGTCTGGCTACGCCCTTACATACGACCTGGTGAAACAGCTGGCCTTTCAATGCAACATTACGCCAGTGTAGTATTTTGATTTCAGGCGAGCTCCGCATAACGTCCTGGCATTGACGCATTGTCATGAAGGGCTCATGTTTCTTACCAGGTTAGAGTTATCACTTTAGCTGTAAAAATTTTTGATGCCACCGTACACACCTTTCATGACTAATTAGGGGTGAAGCTCCTTGTGCCATGGGTTGTGCGTCCTCGATGTATGTAGTAGTATTAGGAGGTAGCTTCCTACTGTTTAGTACTTGGAATGCTCCCTGGATGGCCGTACTTGTATAAGGTGAATATATGATGAAAAGATGCGAGATGGAGGAACTTGGAGTGTTGGCTAGATGAACGGACCGACGGACAGACATACGGATGGACGGACTCACGCGGACACACAAACGGACTAATGGACAGAAAGACAGGCATACAGATGGCGACACAGACGGAGAAAAAGACAGACAGATGGAGAGACAGACAGATGCAGAGACGGAGAGGCAGGCGGAAAGACAGACGGACAGATGGATTTGTGGTTTACCGATAAAACCAGCTGAAACTTTGCCCCACTCATCAGCATTCCCTCCGCGGATATGCTGACAATTTTCAATTCAGCCGAGAATGCTTGTGGTCCATGATTTAGATTTAGGGGCACGTTAAACAACCTTAGGTGGTCAAATTTTCCGGAAACCTCCACTTCGGCGTCTCGCATAACAATATCACGGTGTTGGTACGTTAAGCCCCGTAAGTTATTATTGTTGGGTCAAGATATTGAGGTCAATACCCCCTGACTATTCTATTTCTCCGAAGAAGTGTGGTTTTCTCTCATTAGAACGAATAAACAGGTTTATCGTAGCGCTAAAAGGTCTGCAATAGGTGCGTGAATGACTGAGATGACGCGACGGCGTTGATTAACCTCTTTAAAGCAAAGCAACTGCTGAAACAGTTTTGTGACATATCTTTCTCTTCGCGCATTTCTATGTTGTAATGCCCGCAGCGCTCCGTAAGCAGCAAACAACTGTACGATCAACACTTGCAACAACCGGGTCAGTTGTCGGGGATACATGAATTTTCTTCTATTTTATTCTCGCACACACGTTTAAAACTAATAGCCTCAGGCCATTTCTCCATTAACAAAGACATGTTCAAGGCGGTTTTCGTTTTTGTGCACCGGCGTATCCTACAGTAACATCGGCGGGGAACTAAGGACTTATTGAGTAGCCCCCACATTGTCAACATTTTTCTTCCGGCCCCAAGCCAAATATCTCCGATGCAATTTTTATAAATACAAACGTTACTACAAGTTATAGTACTTAACCTGAAGCAGCTTCCTTTTTATCTGAAAGTTGTAAAAGAGCCTTTCCTTACTTTAGGACATTTTAGAAATCAACCTGTCTGGTTCCGAGTCAGAGAGCAATAATTAAAGCGACCTGAAACTTTTCAGAAAGCAACACGTGCTGCTGCTATTGCAATGTTGAAACTGGACAAAAGGTAAGCCTTTTCCGGTAATCACCTGTGACTCGCGGACAATGTTCGCTTACCTGCTTGTTGTTTTCCTCTTCTTCTGCGTGCTTCGGTGGTACTTGCCATTCAATATTCGTCCAGACTTCTTCATTACAAAAGAACTCCAGACCCTTATCGCTATTAATCCCACCAAGAGTCAAAGAAGCAGCGACGCCAGCAGCAACACAGGTAGGTTGAATCTCTGATAGTTATCTCTTTGTGTATTAGCCAATGATAGTAACTTTTTATTTTGTTCACTTTGCATTTGTTTTGCACAACTTGCTGCGACTATGACACGTGTTACTTTTTGAGTGATAGATTGTCATACCTTGTCGTTTTGATTGAGTGACGCTTACAACTACATCGCCTAGACAGCTGACAAGAGATGCGTTGCTTATTGGCGGCCGCACAGAACTCATATTTTTCTAGACAACAGTAACAATCCAAATCAACCACGTAATTAGAGATGTTTCAAAATCTAATCTCTTTCACTCAATCTCAAAAAAGCTTTATGGCAGAGGTTCTCACTACAGAATCCATTCTATTCGGTTGAAAGTCAATCACAAATCGTTTTTTTTTATCAATCTCTGCCAGCGTCTAGTTCTTTACTAAAGCCAGAAATAAATTTTCGGCTTAGCGGCGAATATCACAGCCTTGGCAGGCAGATGCGCTTAGTACTGCACAGCAGCAATTACAGTGCACGGGACGCTAAAGCTTGCATTCATTGAAACCGCATTGGAACCGGAGGGAAGCATTGCTTCAAATAAGCGTTACCTTCAGAGCATCGGCTGTGTGAAGAGTTAAAGAGGTATTTTTTTTACTCCTACTTACATTAAAATAACTTCGATGCTCCTTAAGAGAAGCATTTGGTAAAGAGAACAGCCGACATGGACTTACGTTTATTAGGGACTGCATGAGTTAAACTGTCAGAAATGGCTTCTCGTTTTCTTCCTCGAAAGAGCTGGCTAGCATGCAGCTTCTCTTTTTGTTGTGCTGGGCAAATGCAGGCTATTTGTACTCAAGCTTGCTACTACACAAATGGACGTGGGTCCAATCACCCTCTTCGCCTTCTGCAGGCCTGGATGTTCAAATTAACCTTGACCGTTTTCCAGGATTTAGTACTAAGTGCACGTCAACCACCTTTGCAGAAAAGCTACGTATCCACAGACTGAGAATTTTCAGCAGCGCAAGCCGCCCAATAACCTGAGACTCAATGATGAACTTTTTAGTACCTGCATCATGCGTACATGTTTGTATCAAAAGTCGAAGGCACTCGCGTTTCTGCACAGTTCCACTGGGAGGATTTTCCTCTAGCATGTACATCCCGAAAATGTGAAGATCACGAAGGTACCAGTGCCATTAAAGAAAGAGATAACCAAAAAGTAAGAAAAATATTGTTCTATGTTGACCCTCCTTTTTTGTTTTTTTTTGTAAAAGTTTGAAATACATTTTCTCAGCCAGGTTTTATCGTTCTGCCAAAGCCCAAGATACTTTTCCATTCTCAAAACGGCTTTTTTGACATCAAGTCCACCGAGCGAGGTCTTCTGGATCAAAAAGAATATATAATCTAGAACTTTGTAAATATGCTATAATATTAGGCATCACTCTTAACTTTATACAGTCGTTTTACCACATTACTCACAAATGTCATACTTTATAAACTCGACAGATATGGACTTAGAGGCGTTCCTCTTCAAACCATTTCTCGATGAGAGACAGTTTTTTTTTTTGTGGATAATAATGTATCAGTAATCAAATGAATATTTTGCGTAGTCCCACAGGATACCATTCTGTGCCCATTTCTATTCAGCCTGTACGCCAGTGCTATTGATTTCAATTGCAAAAAGGTAAAATAATATTTACGCAGATTACACGATTGTTTTCATTTCGTACTTCACATAGTAATTTATTTACCATGGTGAATAAGTGAGTGTGCAAACCATGCTTCTGTTCTGTTGAGAACTGTTCAAGATAAATGCAACAAAACCGAAACGGTAGCTTTAATACTTAAGGCTTACGTCTTCTGTCAGGTCAAGCATTAATCTGTAAATCTACAAAAATAGGCG